TTCCAAGAATAGTCTTCAATTCTTGGTATTGGGTACTGATCAAACTTTCAGTACTGGATTTACCGTTTCATTGTTCCCAGTCCATCCTGGAATAAAGTACCATATTTGTCCAGTATGGGTTTCAATCTCTTATCTTAGTTTACTTGGTTTCACTTCTGAAGTAATTTTCACTGTTTTAATGTCATTCCAGTTCAGTTGCATTTCGTATAACCATTTTCTTCCCAGTACAGGATTGCGTTCACTGTCGGAGTGTACATACAAATCAAGCTGGTGTGTATTTCCTTCATATTCAACACAGACATTTATCTTCTCTTTGATTTCAAAGTTATGACCAGTGAATGCTTTCATGGATATAGAACTTTTACTCAACTTAATTCTATTGAAGAGCCTTTTATAATCGTTCCATGAGATCAGTGATACAGAGGCTCCAGTATCTAACTCCATTTGCAATGCCTTTCCTTCAACTATTGGAGTAACCCACATTGGTTTGCTGCGTGGTTTGTTGATACTGTGGACTTCGTGAATGGTTCCCATGTACTCAGTTTCATCACTGTCACAGTTTTTTACCACGGCATGAATTCTGGGTTTAATTCTTTTTTTTGTGTCACTTTTAGTCGCTGTTGATTTACATACCTTTGCAATATGTCCTTTCTTTTTACAATTGTGACATTCTGCATCTTTAAAATAACATTTGTCTTGATCATGGCCTTTTTTTCTACATCTGTAGCATGGTGTTTTGCTGACAGTATGGTGCTCAGTACAACGTTTTGTATAGCTCACTTTATTAACAGAAAAAATCAGCCTTGCCCATCACTTCCATGTGATCTTTGTCTTCATAGCAACTGCAGTTTCAAGGCGTTTTCATAGGTTATAGTGTCATCCCTAAGTAGGCGTTTCTGAATAGCATCCATATTTAGACCACAAACAAATCTGTCACGTAATGCATCATTGAAGTAATCACGAAAGTTGCAATCTTTTGCAAGTTGTCTCAACTCGGCTGCATATAGTTGTTGACAGATTCCCCCGTCTGTTGATCGGCAAGTGTTTTGATGTCGGAATGTCATTTGCACTAAAATAATATTTTAGTCTTTCTATGTATATCTTCCATTCCTCTACACTTTCATCAAACGAATCTGTCTTGCCAATCTGGAATCCTACCCTGCGTTGATGGGGTGACGGTGATCGAGACATGATAATTCAATTGAACGTTATTATTACTCACAGTTACTGTCGCAGGCTTCCTCGCGCTTGGCTTGGCTCGTGATACACTTTTACGCGATCCCTCTGAGAAACTGCACAAAACTTGTTAGTAAGAGTTCAATTTTCCTTGATTTTCAGCTCTGGTTTTTTTTTGCTGGGAAAGGATTGACCAGCTTTGTTATTAGTCCAAGAAAATTGTTTAGCTTGGAATGTGTCTGAATCCCTCATGAGTATGCAAGAATGTAGGAATGTACCAGGAAAATTGTTTTTTTTTTGGAGTAAATTGTAGTGTATTTGAGGTCTGTATTTTACTTATGAAAGGTCAAAAAGTGCATGGAAAATGTGTGGATGTTTTCAGAATGATGTAGTGCACGTTGATGGACTATTTTGGGTGTAGCTATAAAATGTGTCACTGAAGTACTCACACACGTGTGCATGATTCCATTAATTTGTGCTGTGAAGAAACTCCATTAGAAAATAAGTATTGTGAAATTTGTAGTGAGAATGTATTCAAATAGATTTATGTTTATGAATCTTGTTTCTCTTCAAAGTGTATTTATATAATAAAAATTGTTCATAAAAATGTTTTTCATACTTTTTTGATGGATTGAATTTACAAATGATGAGTTTTGTTATACCATCACTCGAATTATGTGTTACGAATTTCTGATAGTTTAGCCTTTGTGTTCTGGCGAACGTATTTCGAAAGTTGTGTTGTTTTGGCATTATACGACTTGCAGTTCCCTTTTGATGGATTTTATGTGACTGGCCATGTTATCGAACTGTAGTATTATGTAAATCTGCCCCGGAAAATCGGCAAGCAAAGTTTAAATTGCCATTTTCACGCTGCGTATAACGTGGAGTAGTCATCTATGTATGCACAATTGTTCGTCTCCCCGGTGTTCCCCGGTGCATTCAAAAATCCCTTTTGAATTTGGGGGACTTTGTGTGACTGACCATGGTGTTTGTAAACTTTAGTTTAGTTTACAAATTGTAGTTGTGTGTATTAAATCTGCCACAACGTGGATTTGCGATCGTCTCTTGTTTACCAACTCATTTAAATACATTTGTGCCTCAACGAGGACTGAAAAGTTATTTCCATTTACTTCGTCTGTTATAAATCAACTGTATTAGCTTCCTTCGAACTTCCTATTGCCATCGGGATTATGTCTACTACACTCGACGGTGTAGTTCGTATCGATCTTCTTGTATGAAACGCACCCGAACCCGGAAATCGATGGCAAATCGGGATGGTCTCGTCACATAAGTTCTTACCTTGTTCTTGACCACAGTATGCTTGGCTATGAACTGTTATAATACTGTATTGATTGAGGTGAAACTATATC